TATATATATATTTTGTGTTTGTGTGGTCGTGTACTAGTGTATTACATACAGTGTATATATGTAGAATAATATGCATATATACATATGCAAATACATGCATATATGTATACATACATACATAATATATATATATAATATATATATATATTATATATAATATATATATATAATATATAATATATATATATATATATATTATATATATATATACTATATATATATATATATATACACATATGTACACACACACATATATATGTGTGGGTATTATAAATACATAATAATATATATATATATATATATATATATTATATATATATATATATATATATATATATATATATATATATATATATATATATATATATATATATATATATATATATATATATATATATATTATATACACACACACACACTTCACTCCCAAAAGTTTCCGTTTCGCGCAGCCCCCCTTCCCGCCCTGGCCAACCGCACGGGCCAAGTAAGGTTAATTAAGTTTATTTACCACCCTGGCTAACTGCTCAGGCGTGGGCAGTCGTGATTACAGTTAAATATATTCACATACATTCGACAGAGTACAGTATTCTGTGATGACAGTAACTATACGTGGTAAAATGGGAATATGTCATACGGCAAGCAAACGTATATTCCCCAAACAGCTGATCATTGGTGTTTTATCTGCGTGGAGTTTAACGGCTGGGATGAGAAAGGTCCTTTTCGCTTGGAAAATTTTCGAATAAATGTCTTTATCTTCTTTTTATCAAAGATTTCGTGCTCTTTCTGTTAAGATTATGAATTTGTTTTTTTCATTTTACATACAGGCTGAAATATACGTGTGCGCGAGTGTGTGTGTGTATGTGCGTTTTTTTTTCTCTCTTTCTCTCTATCTATAGATATCTGTATATCTAACTTGAGACAGATGGAGAGGAAAATAAACATACAGAAAGAGAGATGAGATGATAAAGATATATATACACACCATCCCTTTTTTTTGCATGACTCCTATATTTTTTTTCTGTTCACATCAATGTTCTTCTCTTGCCTTAACGTTCTCCAGTCTGTGTTCCTGAACCTGTCTTTGGCTTTCCTACTTCGCTAGTCATTGCCGCGCACTTTCCAAGATTAAACACCAACCACAGATCTCTCTCCTGATTGGCTGGCGTCGAACAACTCGCTTTCTCCCTATTGGCTGCAGCTCGCACGACTCTCTTCTGATTGGCTCTTGGCACGACTTTCTTTCTCGTGATTGGCTGCGGCTGTGCAAGGGGCTTTCTTTCCATTGGCGGTTGGTGGTCAGAGAAACGGCTTCTGATTGGTCCGTCCATGACTTGCTTTCTCTTTCTCGATTCCCATTGGCCGATTGCAACCGAGGTCCTTTCCTATTGGCTGACGCGTCATTGACACGACCATCACGTACGATTCTAAGAACTGTGTCCTGAGGCCATTTGCCCCCCCCCCCCCTCCATTTTCGTCCCTCCTCCCCCTCTTCCCCCTCCCTCCCCTCTCCTCTTCTCCTTCCTCCCCCTCTCCCCTATCTCCTGTTCCCTCCCCTTCCCTTGTTTCCCCCCCCTTTCTTTTTTCCTCCCCCCCCCCTTTTTCCCTTTTTTTTTCCTCCTTCCCTCTCCCTCTCCCTCCCCTCTCCTCTTCTCCCCTCCCTCCCCCTCTCCGTTCCTTCTCCCCCCTCCCTTCCCCTCAGCCTCTCTCCTTCTCCCCTTCCCCTCCCTCCTCCTCTCCCCTTCCTCCCCTCCTCCCCCTCTCCCCTATCTCCTTCTCCCCCCTCCCCTTCCCCCTCTCTTTCTCCCCCTTCCCCTCCCTCCCCTCCCTTCCCCCTCTCCCCTCCCTCCCCCTCTCTCTCATTCTTCCCTCCCTCCCTCCCCCTCTCCCTTCCCTTCCCCTCTCCCCTTCTCCCTCTCCCCGCTAAGGGTGTCTCGGTTTTTATCTTCCTCTATCTCTTTGTCTCAGCATCTGTCTCTCTTTCTATCTCTATCTCGATCTATGTGTCTGATAGAACGTCCCTGTCTTTGTCTGTATCCGTCTCTCTCTCTCATTTTTCTTATTGTTTCTCGCTCTCTCTCTCTCTCTCTCTCTCTCTCTCTCTCTCTCTCTCTATCTCTCTCTCTTCTCTCTCTCTCTCATCTCTCTCTCTCTCACACAAACACACACACCACACACACTCACTTGCTTTTGTCTCAACTATATATATCTCCATCTCGGTCTCTTTGGTCTGTGTCTATCTGTGTCTGTTCTGGTCTGTCTCTCTCTCTCCTTTTCTCTCACTGTCTCTCTCTCTCTCTCTCTCTCTCTCTCTCTCTCTCTCTCTCTCTCTCTCTCTCTCTCTCTCTCTCTCTCTCTCTCTCTCTCTCTCTCTCTCTCTCCTTTTCTCTCACTGTCTCTCTCTCTCTCTCTCTCTCTCTCTCTCTCTCTTCTCTCTCTCTCTCTTCCTTCTCTCTCTCTTCGCGTCTCTCTCTCTCTCTCTCTCTCTCTCTCTCTCTTTCTCCTTCTTCTCTCACTGTCTCTTCTCTCTCTCTCTCTCTCTCTCTCTCTCTCTCTTCTCTTCTCTCTCTCTCCTCTCCTCTCTCTCTCTCTCTCTCTCTCCTCCTCTTTCTCCTTTTCTCTCACTCTCTCTCCTCTCTCTCGCTCTCTCTCTCTTTTCTCTCTTTCTCTTCCTGTTTTTTTTCTCTTCTCTCTCTCTCTCTCTCTCTCTCTCTCTTTCTCCTCTCTCTCACTGTCTCTCTCTCTCTCTCTCTCTCTCTCTCTCTCTCTCTCTCTCTCTCTCTCTCTCTCTCTCTCTCTCTCTCTCTCTCTCTCTCTCTCTCTCGTCTCTCTCTCTCTCTCTCTCTCTCTCTCTCTCTCTTCTCTCTCTCTCTCGCTCTCTCTCTCTTCTCCTCTTCTCCACTCTTCTTCCTGTCTCAGCATACAGCTCCTTTATTCTGGTCTCACGGTTTAAAAATGTGATGTTATAAACTATTTTTAAAATGTGATGTTATAACTATTTTTTTAATGTGATGTTATAACTTTATTTTTTAAAAATGTGATATTATAACGTATTTTTAAAAATGCTGATGTTATAATTATTTTTAAAAAATGTGATTATAACTATTTTTATGATGTTATAGCTATTTAAAATGTTTTTTTTCATGATGTTACAACTATTCATTTTTATGATATA